TCCCTCCTCCTCCCTCTCTCTCACCCGCTTCCACTGCCATCAAGTGTATGCCAACTCTTAGTGGACAAAGTAGAATTGTCCCTATGAGTTTCTGAAACGAACCCTTTACAGCAGTAGAAAGCCTCTTTCTCTCATGGAGTAGCTGGTGGTTTGGAAGGGCTGACCTTGTAGATCACAGGGCCATGTAACCAGGGCTCTCACAAATCACCTAGAATTATGTAAAAGTAGACTCTTATGTAGTAGGCCTGCGGTGAGTTAGTCTATGGACCACTTGTGAGCGCCAAGCTTTCCATTACAAATGTAAGAACAGAGACTGTAATCCTTTGTAGATCTGCAGTCAGTGGATTCCTAGAAAGTGGCTGGATAGATTATCATTTACTGTGAACTTCCATCAATATTGTCTCATTTGATCCTGGTTCAAACACTTGGAGGGTTCTATATTACCCTTATTTTCCATTAAGGATACTAAATCTCCAAAATGTAATGTGCCATTATGAAGAATAATGGACATTTGTGGTCAAGCCATGCCTTGAATTCAAGAACTTTAACTTTAAATGATAATTTCTAATATGCTACCATTTTAAAGCTGTTTCTTGAAACAATGACATTCTTCTAGTACTATTGAGAAAAAACCAAAAACAAACAAAAAATAACCACCAATGATGCCAAGACAAAGTCCTGTCAGGTACACATTGGACCTGCAAGACCAGTGGTTTGAACCCGTCATACGCTGCTTGAGAGAAAGTCGAGGGTACGTGCTCCCATCAAGATCTACAGCCCCACAGGAACCCTCTCTCGGGTCACCATGAGTCAGAATGGACTTTTCTGAGATTTGGTGGCAATCTTTTTTTCTGTTGTACACTGAATTTTAATGTGCACATGAAAGAAAGGTATCATGAATATTTTGCAGTAATCTGCCCAGAAGAGAGAATGTAGCAGATCCTAAGATACCAGGAAGTTGCAAGTAATGCTGTGTGATACACAGACTTATGGTATCCCATATCTACTTTGATGCATGGACAATTTAACAATCAAACACATCATTATTTTTGCTCTCTGACTTAATCCATGAGTCCCTGATGGGGTTAATACATTATGACTCAAATGCTTTATGGTCAAATAAGAACATCTTAGCTGATACTGTCTCCCACCTGCTTCATATCTTCATAGAAGAGATAGAGAATTTGATATTGGTCTTTGACGTTCCACCATCCTTTCACATGGTTGTACCACGAACCCCAGCACACTGGAAGACAGGGAAAAAATAAGACAAGTTGTAGAATCCAACCAACACAAATAATCCACGGGAAGGAGAATTCCTGAAGAAAGAGAAAGTGTTACGCTCACAATTCCTTTATATTAAAGAAGGCAACACCTCTGTGATTTTAAGGAAATGACTCTGTCTTCTGGAAGCATTTCCTATTTTTGAGAAATGAAGGAAATGAACGCAAATTCTCACCTTTCCCAGCCAGAAAACTTTCAAAATACTCATCCCAGGTTCCTGGATCAGGAAGTCCTTTATTCATTCTATGGAAATGGTAGTAAGACACCATATTGTCCTTGGGGTTTCTTGCTACGTAGATTATCTGTGAATGGAGGAAGGAGAGAAAGAAGTCAACACACAAGCGAAAATATCTAGTTCCCACCCAGACAAGTCATGTTAAGGTGAATGCAATTCATATACACACATTAAAAAAATATTTCACTGTGGTTTGAGCAAAAGTTGACCAAGCAAGCTTATTTCCTATTCAACAATGTACACACATTTCGAGTCCCAACAGCACTTTTGCTAATCTCACCCAGTGTTCCCAGTTCCATTTCCTCTCTTTCCTGCCAAGACCTGCTAGCTGAACTTTGATTTTGGTCAATGCTGCCCGTTTGGTCTTGTCTGGTTGATTGTCACCAAGGTCATCTCCAGGAGTGAGTGCTGTGCCAGGTTTGAAAGGTGTCTAAGGGTCATAGGCTTGGTATCTCCTTCACATTGAAAAAAAAAAAGATTTTGTTCTACATTGTCCTACTACTTTTGTTGTGATCCTGTTCAAAGCAGTCTGTGGTGGCAGCCAGACGCCATCCGGTTCTTTTGGTCTCAGGCTAAGGAACCATCAGTCCTCTAGGCGATTCTGAGTCTTTGTTTGGCTTTCCATGAAAAAATTCAAACATTTTTTGATTTGCTGCATTGACTGCATTCTCCACGGTGTAACAACATTCTTCCTCTTCCTTCCCTATGCCTACTGTTCCCACTCTTCCTTCTTTCCTCTCCCTCCCATGTCTTCTTGGGCAAATGCTGCCCTTTCGGTCTCAGATAGTTGAGTGTTCTAAGGGATGGGTACCTTCCTGGTATCATTGTTCACCTTATAATCCTAACTATTATTTGGCTGAAAGTAGAGCCATGGGCATGAGTTCAGTTTCAGACTTGAAGGTCGACCAAGGACTACAGTCTCGGGGCTTCTGCCCAGTCTTTATCAGCCCAGCAAACCTGCTCTTTTTTATACTTTTGAGTTTTGTTTCCCATTTTCCTCCCACATTATCCATGACCTTCCATTGCGATGCCTTTCAGAGCTGTCAGCAGTAGTCATCAGGCACTGCCGAGTTCCTCTTGTCCCTCGTTCTTCAGCATCTTGGATGCTGAGATTTGTGTGAGCGATTCCTCCTTCGGGCTAACTGTTGGCATGTCATTGATTTTGTCCAATCTTCTTTGCATTGAATGGGGAGAGATCAGTAGGTGCACTTTGGGTGGCCTCTCACCCTATTCATTACTCACTGAAGCAATAGGTAGAACCTTGTTTTTGCGAACTATGTTATGTCAACTGACCTTGATGTCCCCTGAGACTATGGTTCTAAGTCTCTCACAGTGACTCATTTTCTCAAGGTGTTTGGTTCTGGCTCAGAAGTTTTCATAACTGTGCCCTTTGTATGCTCTACTATATACTTGCATATATTTGTAGCACATACAAATACATTCAATGGGGTTTGAAGAACCCCAGGGGGCTTATAGGAAAACTCCATTATCTTTTAATTCTGTTTCCTACTACAGTTAAAAAAGCCCCTTGGATATAGAAATACCCTTTGCCAAAACTTGCAAATTCCCATATGCTGTCACACACCTGCTCAGTGTACATATTTGCCTATGTACCCACTTGTAAATTATTGTTTTAAAAAATGACTATTATTGCAGGATGGTGTAAGTAACAGTTATTGGCCATGGTTGCGTTTTACTCTCCCAGCGTCGTCAACTACCTTGGCCATTCTCTGCTGACCGCCCCTTAATGTGTCCTGCTTTTGCCCTGACTGTAGCTAATATGAGGAACCTTTGAAAAGTTCACAGAAAGTAGAATTTTAAAAAAGTAGAAAAAAAAGTAAAGAAAGAAAGAAAATAGAATGAAAAGATCAAGGAACCCCCACGGGTGCTCTGAATTGGAAGTGACTCAATGGCAGTGGGTTTTGGTTTCGCTTGGGCCAGTAGTTTTTCTTTAGATCGGTTCCATCTGTCACCAGAATTGCATGACGCAAATGTACAGTTCCATCCGTTGAATACCTTGTAAAATGCAATGGCTATGCATACTATTATCATGATGAACGTGATATGGTAGAGAATAAAATGTCAAAGTTATGATGCAATAATAAACAGTAGTAATAGAGAAAAAAAAAGATAAAGGAAGTTTTCACGAACCTTTTACAGTCCTATCCCCATTTCAGAGATGTTTACTATCTAATGGGGGATTTTTCCTCCTTTCTCCCTCCCATCCCTGGCAAACCTCAAAGAATGTTTCTTTTTGTGAATGACTTTTTTTAGAAAGGTGGTTTCATAGAATATTCTTTTGTGACTGACTTATTCACTCAGCATAATGTTGCCTAGATTCCTTCATGTTTGCATTAATTTTGTTTTTTAAATGCTGAATTCTTGTGATCCTAGATTTTGTGGGAGATGACAAGGGTTCCCATCAATTTCATAATGATTAATATGAAGATGGAGTCTAGTTCCCTGCCCACCCCCTCTACTTTAACATCAAATAAGAAGTTCTAAGAGGACATTGAAACCCCACGACATGGTCACTGTGATCAGAAGAATTGTGAATTTCTTTTGTTCTTTACCTTACAGTTTTTCTCTAGGAAGGATGGAGGTGTCAGCTCAATGGGGAGATGAGTTTTGAGAGTCCGTGGTGAGGGCAATTCATTAGCCCTTTCCAAACCTGAAAAATTGGTTTTGGTTATTTTTCACTTTTTTTCTCTGTTTACTTCAAAATCCTTGCTGCTCTTCCATTATTAATATTTTAGGATCATTTCAAGGTAGTTGCAAGAGCACTGTCTCACTGTAAACTCAATGCTGTCGAGTCAGTTCTGACTCGTGGCAACGCCATAGACCAGGGTAGACCTGCTCTTGTGGATTTCTGAGACCATAACTCTTTAAAGGTGCAGAAACCCAAACCCAACCAAACTCACTGCCATCGAGTCAATGCTGAGTCATAGAGACCCCCTGTGGGTTTCCGAGACTGTACCTATTTATGGGAATAGAAATCCCAGTATTTCTCCCGAGGAGCTGCTGGTGGTTTCAAACTGCTGACCATGTGGTTTACAGCCCAACACATAGTTACTACACTACCAGGGCACCCACAGGAGTAGGAAGCACATCCTTTTCTGAGGAGTGACTGGTAGTTTTAAACTGCTGATCTGTGGTTAGCAGCCCAACATGTGCCATTACGCTATAAATCTTATCTATCTTATCTACAAATCTGATCTGAAAGACCACATTTAACTCTGAATAATGTTTTTGGCTAGAGCAATTCCTAAACATTGTAATAAACCAACCAAAGAAATAAAAACCTGAGAAACCAAGCCTTTCTGGAAATTATCTTTCTAGAGATTTTTTTTCTAGCTATTTTCTTTCTAGCGATTATCCTGTTAGGCTCATCCTTATTGAATAAAATTAATTTCTAATTCATAAAAATTTAGTTTTTAATGTTTATCTTACTTTGGTGATTTCCTTTTAAAAATGGCTCCATTTCAGTCAGGGTGCGCTGTAACAACGATGAGAAATACAACTTTCCTCTAGTTCCTAAATGTTTCCTCCCCGCTCCCACTACCATGACTCGAATTCTACCTTGCAAG